CACACAACTACTTAATATTTCGCACATAAAGCGCGTGACGTCAAAGCACTGTGAGAAAATGACACAACGTGAGAGCGACGAGAGCCGAAAACATATTTACATATTAGAGGGTTCTGTTTCAGTGCGAAAAAGGGAGTATTCGAATGAGTTGGTCCTGTATAAGGATTCCGCTCAGTGTTGCCGTGGCGATGTTTAAAAGAAAATCTAAAATGTATATTATTTATTATATTCACATTATAATGTAAATGAAGGCATTAGAAAAATTGCAACAAATTACACGAAAATTATGCAGAACAAATGACTTTAATTAAATTAAAATAAAATTAAATTAATTAAAATTCAAATAGCACAAAATCAAAAAAAATGGAAACAAAATTTTTAATTTAAAATAAAAAATTTAAATTACTAGCATGAAAAAAAAAATAATCTTAAAATAGTAGATAAAAAAATAAAATAAAATAAAATAAAAACAAAAAAATTAATAACATTAAAAAATGAATTAGAATTAATTAAAATAGAATTAAAAATCAATGAAAATAAAACATTAAATGAAAAATATATTAGGTAATATACAATAGTATAAATATAAAAAACTATTAATTTAATAAAATAAAAGTAATTAAAAAATAAGAGAAACTAAATATAAAACATAAATAAATATAAAAAAGAAAAAGTAACGATAGCAAAATAAATAAAAATAAATAATTTAATACATAAAAAAGGTGAAACCAAAAGGAAAGTTTAATAAAGCAAACTAAATTGAAATAAAAATGAGATAATAAAAGCGAAGAACAAAAAAGTAAATCAAAATAAAGATGAGATAAAATAAAATAAATGAAAAGAAAGGAAAGGCATTAAATGTAATAAGATTAAATAATAAAAAAATAAATGTAAAACGAAAAATAATATATAAGGAAATATAAAACAAAATAAAACGAAATAATATTAAACTGTGCAAGGTACATACATACATTTGATGTAGTCAAAATAATATTAATTAACTTTTAATTAAAATGGCTTAAATAAAATAAAATGTAATTATATAAAATTTAGTTAAAATAAAAGGAATGACACTAAATTAAAAGTAAATAATTAAAGAAATATGAAGAAAGTATATTGAAATAAAAAAATTAAACGAACTAAGATAAATTAAAATAATAAAAACAAAATTAAGTATAAAAAAATTTATATATAAAAAGGTAAAAAAATATAATAAAATAAAATAATATAAGATTTATTAATGGAATAATATCAATCGAAATGGCATGATATAAAGTTAAAATAAAGTAAAATAGAATAAAAAAAAACCAAAAAACACAAATGAGTAAAAAGGAAATATAAAATGAGAAAAAATTTAAATAAAATAAAATTTCAAAGTTAAATTTTAATTAAAATGAAAAGGTAAATAAAAAAAATAAAAATAAAAATAAAATTAAAAAGAGCAAATAAAAGCAAAAGAAAACACAATAAGATAGAGTAATAAATGGCAAAGCAAAAATACAATCGAATAGAAAAAAATTAAAAAATTATATATTAAAAAAAATTAAATTAAATTAAGTTCCATAAAATAACTTTGAGAAATTTAAATAAAGAGAGTTATATAATAATAAAGATTAACACATGGAAAATGAAATAAATAAATAAAGCAAGAAACAAATTTTAAAACAAACCAATAAAATAAGACAAATTAATGAAAATCTAAAATAAAATAATGTAGTATATTTATTTAAATAGTATATTAAAGAAATAAGAATTAATTAAATGTTTTAAATGATAAAATGATAGAAGAAAAAATAAATATATAATTATATATCAATTTAATAAAAATAACTAAAAAAAAAAACAAAAAAAAATATAATGAAATGGAATAGGGTTTTAATTTTAAATAAAATTAAGTAAACTAGAGTGGAAACAAATAAAATAAAATGATTTAATAAGCATAAAAAATAATAAAATAAAACTAAATTGAAACATAATTAATCGAATAAAAAAAAAATATTAAAAAAATAAATTAAAATGAAGCAAATAAGAAATTATTATATTACGAAAAAATTTTATACATGAAAAAATTAATATAAAATAATAATTAATATATATATAATTGGCATTTTGTAAGCGCTGAAGCGATTTTTCGAACGAGCTTATCCGCCAATTTGTGGTTTTGTGTCTGGCTGTTTCTCCAACAAATGGAGGGATCTACAGTTTATACTAAGCGCCCTACGAACGGCTGATGGGCTTTTTATGTAGAGCTTTTTTTCATGTCCGAAATACACTCGGAGCATTCCCTGCCGAGGGGCGAACGCAATTATAAGTCTTACTAAATCAAACAAAGTAAGGAAATATGATTTAAAAGATAATAATATTAGTGATATATAATCAAATTAAAATGAAATGAATTTAATTAAATAATATAACACATATTTAAATAAAATTAAATAAAAAAAGAAAATCATAAAGGAAATACTAAATAAATTCAGTAAAATAATAAGAAATTAAAGAACACAGAAATCTCAAGCAATTAAAATGAAGCAAAATTAAATAAAAAGAAGTTAATTCAAATAATATAATAATAATATTAATATATAATATATATCAAGATATTAATATTCGAAATAAAACAAAATAGAATGAAGAAAGTGATTGAAATACAGTAAAATATGATGAAACAAAAAACACAAGGTGTCAAATATGGCATGTTCAAAGAACTTACATATACATTTTGTTATGATCTTCCTCACAACCACCTGCTAGTTGATTAGTTGCCATCTAATCAGCTGCTAATTCTATCCAATTGGAATACTACTACATGTCATGCAACTCTGCATGACTCAGTGTTGCCGTTTCACTCAATTTACGCCCTTTTACCAATTTGACAGTTTTTATATGTTGATAGGTATGTATATACATACATACGTACAAATGTATAATCGCACTGTGTGTAAGCACATTGCTGCTGCTATCTTTCTCACTCGGTCTCAGTCTCTCGTATTATATCGTCTGCTATCGTTATCGCCGTGCGTACAAAAAACTAATAATGACGGGGAAAACATTTTACTCCAATTAAAAAATGAAATATGTACAAGCTTTGAGGAGTAATGTAATGTGAAATAAATATATATATATATATAAGAAACGAAGAATATATGTTTAAACGCGGAGTGAATAAAAGTAAATTCGAAAAGCAAAAGAGGAAAGATTTGTTGATAATTACAGTTAAACAAAAGGTTAATAATTTTCACCAATACAATAAGTAGCAGCAGTGAAACAAAAAAAAAACAACATTTACAATTTATTACATATGTATATGTGTAAGTGTTGGTTGAAGTTAAAGTAAAACAGAGTTTAACTAGTGTATGTGTGTGGGTAAAGTAAGGCAAGATAAGTGGTCTTCTGTGTCCCAAAGCAAAAGATAATGCATACAATGATTTATTGAAAAAATATATGTGCATATGTGTGGTGAATTGCGAGTATACAAATATACATGCATACATATGTAGGTAAATTCATGTGCATTGTAAACTATGTATGTAGGGATGAGTATGTATGTGCAATCAAATAAATAAATAATAATAAGAGCAAAATTTATTAAAATGGAATATTGCAAAGACAACATACATACACACATACGTACGTACATAATGTTTATATACATACAAGCAAGCCTTAAACAGCGTGACCGCCGAAGTATTATACGAAAAACGCTGCTTAAGAAGGTGGAGGCAGTAAAGCAATGCAATACATACGTACATACTACATACATACATGCATACTTATATACATACATACATACATACAGATGTATATAATCAGAAATTACGTACTAGTTTGATGGAGAGGAGGTAGATGCATGTACATACATAAATGTGTGCTTACGTATCTGCATACATAACTACATGCATACATCGTACAGTTGTAGATAGGCGTATGTATAATTGTGTGCGAAAAAGGTGAAGCAGAGAAACAGCTGAAAAAAATTCAATGTATTAAGTGCCCTACAAGTGAGCTCCAAGTGCCTGGAGTATGACGAGAATTGAATGCTCTCGATGCTGCTTGCTCGATTTGCCTCAGTTATTATTGGCATCGAGCATCGGTAGCGGTTATGGTGATCGCGTCGTTACGTTTGTTATACACATACCTGTCTACATATGTATGTATGTATACGTGTACATACGTCAGATTTGCCAGTTCCAAATGTCCCACTAATCAACACAAAACAACAACAACAATAGCAGCAACAACAACAACAGCAACAGCAGCAGCAACAGCAGCAGCATTACCACCGTCATCACCGTCACTTCTGATATTCTCATCCAAACAAAATGCTCGCAATCTTCACATCATAATCTGTCGTTGTTATATGCATATATACATACATATGTATGTACCTACGTGTGTGTGTGAATGTGTGCCTAACACCCCCACCTCGCAGTCTGTCTTTCTTGCAGCTCTTCGGTACCTACTAACGCTTGATTCGTAAATGTCAACAACAGCAATAACATGCAATACAACACACAGAGGAGTGACGGTAATCGTCCACCGACGTCGTGGTCACAGTTACAATAATATTGTTACGATTTTACTGAATCAACCTCGATTATTTTCTAGATCCTTCGGGTACGATCTCTGGATTGTTAAATAAAAACTCGCCAACTTAGTTTGCAGTTTCTTTCGTTATAAAGATTCTATCTAATGTCCTTTATTCTCTCAGTAATTCACAATTCAATTATACTGCACTTTACTATTTATAATCACTAACATCAACTTTCACAATTTCCTCTACTTAAATGTAATTCCCAACGCGTTCACTTTACGTCTTCACTGATGTTAACGCCAACCAATTTGCTTTGTCACTGCTTGACTTGCAGCTGAGTGTCGCCTTTATATAGCAGTCGGCTGCTCGCAGACGAAAGCGTAGAAGCATCGAATTGTTCGCTATGGAAGGTTCTTGTGTTATCGGCTTCTCTCTTTCATCTGACATTCGCCTCGCATTTTCGCAACAATATATATTGTTGCTGTCATTCTTATATGCTGTTGTTATAGTTGTTTTTGTTTGTACCTCATACTTATGAAGGCGTTTGTATGTACATAGTTGTTTATATTTTTTTTTTTTTTTTTTTTTTTTTTTTTTGATACTGTGTTCGGTTGTCGACGTCTTTAATCAAGCACACATACACACATACACACCCAAACACACAAACACAATCTTGCATACATATCTACGCAAGTTCATACATATTTTTGTTGAAATTTATATGCATACATACATACAAATGTACGCCTCTGTCGTCGTCGTCCCCAACTTCATCGTAGGCATCGTTGTATCGTCGCCTCCGCCTCAAATACCTCAAATACCACCTCTTCATACATACAGACATACAAAAATACATATGTATATAACAGCATAGCGTGCTCATATATATTCGTTGTTGTTGTTGCTTGTCGTCCGTCTCGTCGGTGTCTGTTTACCGAATGGAGCACCACCATAGCTTTAGCTACATAGCAAGACAGCACACGAAAGCAGAGCGGCATTTAGTTGGAGTCTCCTCAGTTGCTTTTCGGCGTCTGAATTGAGTGCGTGTAATACACTCGTCGGCAGTGACGTGACCACCGACCACATTTATCTGCATATATGCACAAATACATAACAAGACATGTATATACATATATGTACTAAAAAGTGTACATATGTGAATGTTTGTGTGTATATGAGTGAGTAGTGCCGTGTATCAAAGTAAAATAGTATTATTGTGCCGATTGTCTTCATAATTTGCAATTTTTCACTTGGAAAGTTAATTCGCTTTCAATTTCCTTCTGGAAAATTAACAAATATGTGCATATGTACAAATGTATGTGCATTTATACTTGTGCATGTGAATTTCCGATAAATAACGTGCGTGTGTGTTGGGGAATCGTTATCGCTATCTGTCAAAAAACATATGAAAATCGCAGATATGGCGTTGGTAAATGAAAAACAAATAAGTAAATAAAACAAATAACAAAATAAGTAAAAAATTATTTAATAAAAATAAATAAATAAATAAAAAATTAATAAAAAAAATAAATAAATATATAAAAAATGAATATATAAAAAAAAAACTTTAAATAAATAAATAAATAGATAAAAAATAAATAAATAGATAAAAAATAAATAAATAGATAAAAAAAATAAATAAAAAGATAAAAATAAATAAATAAATAGATAAAAATAAATAAATAAATAGATAAAAATAAATAAATAAATAGATAAAAATAAATAAATAAAAAAAAAACAAACAAATAAATAGGAAAAAATAAATAAAAATTAATAAACACATAAAAAAATATATATAGAAAAAATTATAAATAATTATAAAAAAATTAAAAATATTACAAAAATAAATATAAATTAAAAAACTTTATAAAATAAAAAAAAATTAAGAAAATATTAACAAATAAAAAAAAATTAAAAAACTAAAAAAAAAAATATAAAAAATTAAAAATCTAAAAAAAAAATATAAAAAATTAAAAAACTAAAAAAAAATATAAAAAATTAAGAAACTAAAAAATAATATAAAAAATTAAAAAATATTAAAAACAAATAAAAAATATTTAAAAAAATAAAAAGAAAAATTATAAAAAAATTTAAAAGAAATAAAAAAAAAATAAAAAAAATAAAAAGAAAAAATATAAAAAAATTTAAACGAAATAAAAAAAAATAAAAAAATAACATAAAATAAAAATTAAATAAATAAACAAAAATAAGGTAAATAAATAAAAATTAAATAAGTAATTAAATGAAAAATAAATAAAAGTAAATAAATAAACAAAAAAAAAATAAAAGTAAATAAATAAATAAAAAAAAATCATAAAACAAAAAAATAAATAAATGAAAACAAACAAAAAAAATCATAAAACAAAAAAAAAATAAAAAAATGAAAACTAACAAAAAAAAATAAATAAAAATTAAATAAAATAATAATAAATCAATATTAAAGGGGAATCGTTACATATGTATTCCGCTTTGAAGGGGTGTAGGACGTGAAGTGAGGGGGCGAAAGTCAATGAATTAAACTTTACAATAATGAACAAATAATTAATTAATTAATAATATATAATAAAAAAACAAAAAGAATAAAAATATAAAAATATACGTAAATAAAAGATAAAAAAGAAAATAAATATACGAATTTAATAAAAATACATGAAATAAATGTATATATATATATATATACAATTTAAAAAAAATACATAAATAAATGAATAAAAAAAATGCATAAATAAGTAAATAAAATAATAATTATTATTAATAAGTTATTAATAATAATTAAATAAAATTATTAACAAAGACATACAATAAATATGTGTTTATGTATTGTTTGTTAAATTATTGCCAGTTCAATATTGGGCAAAAAGCAAGAGGATAATGAAACATAATGGGAATATGGGAGAAACAAATTTGAAAAAAAAATACAAAAATTAATTTGTAACTTTGCTATAAAACATAAGCAAAATAAAATTGTCAAAATATTGCTACAGAAAAAATGCACACCCGCACATTACCACAACAGCGCCCACCTACCCCACGAGGGCTGACGTACGAAAATTTTGTGAATGAACTTCTAATGCGCAAGTTTAGCAATAAATAAATGCTCAGGCAGCTGTGGGTTGTTGTTACAGCTTGATTTTACTTGCCTCACCAGCAACAAACACCACCACCACCACCACCACCATCTTCGTCACCATCGTCATCATTGCAGCTCTCACTGGCGCATTAAGGCTTAGCCAATTCCAATGCAATTGCTTTTGTCATCATCTTAATGTGTATGCATGTGCATGTATTAGTGATGGAGGAGCTGCAAAAACGAACCGGTAGGCGGGAGTGAGGCAGTAAGGAGCTCTGCGCGCATACGCCCAATTCTTTCAGTAATTCTTAATTTCCTCTTTTTTTTCAACACTTTTGTGTGTGTGTGTGTGTGCGTGTGTGTTTTGTGGACTATAGCCAATTGAAATCTGCAGCTTGATTGTTGTTGTGGCTTGGAACCAAGACGATAAATTAGAAAAATTGTTGAGCATTTAAATTGAAAAATTGCACAATCGTCGTCCGTCAGTTAGTCGGTTGTAATCGGCCAGGCAAGCATATGTATATTTACATATACAGTTACTCTCAAAGGCGATCATGATTTGACTTGTAAGAAACTTAATATCATTCTCTTTCTATTGCTTAAAATGCAGTTTCTCATAACTAACGGTATTTTAATTTTATGAAAAATATTAGGTCTAAACCGATTTGAATGTTAATCTCATCAACAGCCATTGGAAAACTCAATAAGGCCAGTAGCACTGCGTTTAAGGAAGAAATAAGGAAATTAGTCTCCACTGGTAAGACCCACATGGACAGTCCGGCTAAACTGAAAATATCAACTAGAGTTGTGAGCGAAATTTGCAGTAAATTTTCAGAATTTTCACTAATAATAAGGCAGAACGCAAGCACGAATACTTAATTCAATCCAGGAGTGAGCCATTGTTAGGAAGATAAGAAGTCCGAAAGCCAGTAATGCGAAGGAAACGAGCCATAGTTTAGAAAAGGACAACAATAACATAGTTTCAGCAGAGATAGTAAGAAGAGTTCTTCGAAATGCTGGCTTAAAAGGACCAGCAAAAGTCTAAAAACCACTGCCCACTGACAGGCATAGGAAGCTAGGAATGGTATTTGCAAAACAGTATCAAAACTGGACGGTCGAGAGTATGTTTGTAGAAATATGGGCTCCAAATTGCAGCCACATCAAGTCAAGCCAACATTGCAGTTTGGAGGGGGTTAAATCATGGTTTGGGGGGCTGTAAGACTCCCAAGGGTGTTAGTAGGTTGACAAAAATTGTTGGAATCGTGTCAGCAGAATCCTATAAAGTGATTTTAAAAAATAATTGTCTTGCAACAAGGCAATGGAAAAAAAAGAATAGAAATTTTAAACTGGCCACAATAATCTCCAGACCTCAACCCCATAAAGCAATATCTGCCCGATATTGATGTCTGGCCAGCAAAGCAAACTGTTAACTTGCCAACTAACATTTTTATTAGCTGCACGAAGGATCACAACTTAGAACTGAATGATAAAATCAATGATTCCGGCTAAAAACTCCCCCAAATCTTAAATAATTCTGCAATCGACAGCCTGTACTCCTTCCCTCGGCATTCGGCAACCAAAGTACATAGCCGCAGCAAAATCCTCAAATCAAATCCTTTATTAAAAAAAAAAGAAGATACGTCACTTGCAATTTACAAAGCAATCAGCTGTTTAGGGACTTGAGAGACGCACTTGATGTCTCCTATGAACCCACCTATATTGTGCTGTTAATGTGGGGACCGTGTTGCCAACAAAGTTTATTCGTCCTTACTGTAAATGCTACCACCTGGCGACTTGAGAGCTTTGAACTGCTGTTAGATCACCTACACTGACTGGGCGTCCGTAGCAGCCGAGTGGTGAGCAATGTGTACCACTACGAGCAGTAAAATGGGTTACAATAAAAATCCGAGAAATTATAGAAAATTAATTAAAAATAATAATAATAATTTCTATAACTCAGGTGGCTCAGAATAAAACTTAGCCCCCCCCCCAGCGCACACCACAACTTGGAGGTGGAGCTTGGCCGAAAATCGCTTCAGCGGTTATAAAATTTCAAATACCAATAAATATAAATATCCACAGCCTCTATGTACGGTCTTAAATACGCACAATTTCGTACAGATGAAGTTAAAAAAATATAATTCTTTGCATAAAATACCTTCCTTCTGCCCTCTTCCCTGACGTAAACCGAATATCACTACGTAAATTGGTAAAAAGTAGAACAACAGCGTTTGAAAATTGTACCTAATATCATAAGTATGTATGTATGTATAAGTTATAACGATACAAACATAGAGTCAAACGCCGTTGCTTTTTTTATATATATTTTTTCTTTATTTTCTCATCGCTTCTCGCAACTTCCTTGTGATCTTAAGTTACTCCATGTTTTTTCTTTTCTCTCTTACGCTCTTACAGCATTCGCTTTTGATCGCGCTTAATTCTCGGCTTGCGTCGTCTGTGACATATATACGCATATACATAAAGTCAGATATGTATGTACATATATTTATATTAGGTTACTACTACCATCATAGGTGTTGTGTCGCAAGCAATGCTGGCCGCCTTTACCCCTAGCGATCTCTCGAAGCAAAAAATTTGTTTTAACTTGTTGTTTTGCGGTTTGCTTTTACATTTCAATTCGCAGTAATCAGTGGTGTTATAGGTACATAATGTACATAATATGAATATATGTATGTTTGTTTGTTTGTTATGTTTCTTTGTATGTATATTGTAGAATTTTTCTGCAATATTTGTTTTATTCACTTATTCTTTATCTCTCTTTTTCCATTGTATTTTTTTTTTTTTTTTTTTTTTTTTTTTTTTTCTTTTTTTTTTTTTTTTTTTTTTTTTTTTTTTTTTTTTATTTTTTTTCCCCCTGCAATGGCCACCACATCAAGCATAACTAAAGTAGCACACTCTATTTTTCTTACTCTCTCTCACTCTCTCTCATTCCTCTCTCTATCACTCACTCTTTGCCTGCTTCCTTTGTTTTCGTTTTCATAACACGTTTAGGCGCACATAAACACACGCACATTGTAAGCCCCAAGCTGATTACGAGCACTCAACTGCTGATCTCCAATTTGCTCTCCTCTGCTCTGCTCTGCTGCATGACGCTGACAACGTCATGCAAATATGTACATACATTAGGCTGTAGTATATAAGTTGATTGTGCAGCAGATATTTTTTTTTTTAGTTTTACGCTTTTTTCTCTTTTTCTATTTTTCACTTTTTATTGCTTATTTGCCCTTTTCATATTTTTTTTTTCTTTTTTGCTTTTTTTTCCTTTTTTACCTTTTATGTTTTATGAATTTTAATATAGTTTTGTTTACTCCTATTTTTTTGTTTTTTGTTTTTTTTTTCGTTTTTAATTAATTTATT